GCCCACTGCCCTGGGGAGCCTGGGCAGTGCCCACCACCCTCTGGGGGAAGAACCTTTCCCTGAGATCCATCCCAACCCCCCTGGCACAGCTCCAGCCCTTCCCTGGCTCCTGTCCCTGGTCCCAGAGCAGAGCTCAGCGCCTGCCCCTCCGCCTGCCCTCGGGAGGAGCTGCAGCCCCCGAGGAGTCTCCCCTCAGTCTCCTCTGCTCCAGCTGAACCAGCCCAGTGCCCTCAGCTGCTCCTCACACCCTTCCCCTCCACACCTTTCACCATGTTCTTAGCCCTCCTTGGGCACTGTCTAACAGCTTTGTAGTGTTGTGGGTAGAAGCTGTTAGGTCTTAAGAAGACATTGAAAGAACTCCTTAAATATTAAAGTCCATCCCTGTTTATATCTTAGGACACCTGTCCAGTCACCATGTTTGAATTTGCTCTTCCTCTGTTCCTTGTTTTGCCTTTGAAAGGTTTTTGCAGATCTCAGTCTTCCTGGAAATTAGAAATTGTCCTTTTTTTTGCTCAGAGTTCCTCAGTACCAACAGTAGCTCAGTTTCCAATATTCTTGTACCAACATTGTCTTTTAGCTTTAATAGCTGTTCTTGGCTGTGTGTGCAGATAGCCCTGCTTGCCCAGCTTTCATTTTGGTAAATTGAACTAACTGTGTGCTGTAGTCTCCTGGTTTGGTGTTTATTCTTTTAATTGTCATTCTGAACAGTGGCTCCAGTTTAAATTCGCATAGCAGATGTGATATTTAAGAAACACTGGTCCAGATCAGACCTTTAATTAAAAAAGTTGTGGAAAGAAAACTGTTGACTAGAAGGTAAAGAACACACATACTCTCCCTTTTCAGTGTGATCACATTTTTATTATCTTTCATTTTGTCATAGTCCAGTAGCTTTTTTAGCTGTGAGGAGACAATTCTGAGTCAGAGCATGAGATTTGTTCAAACAAATGCTGTGAGCAATCCACCACCTTCCCGAGCTGGGCTCAGTTTGGGTGCCCTCTCTGCTTTGCAGACACCTGGAGGAAGCCAACCAGACCCTGGAAGCCATGCTGAGGCCCAAAGTGACGACTCTGCCCGGCCACATCCAGGCAGTGTACGTGCAGAACATGGTGAAGCTCTACGCGTCCATCCTGCAGCACAAGGAGCAGGCTGGGGACAAGGAAGCAGCTCAGGAGATCACCCAGCTGATGATCGAGCGCCTGCCCCAGTTTGTCCAGAGCGCAGACCTGGAGGTGCAGGAGAGGGTGAGGCATCAGAATTGCTGCGGGGTTTGTCGTGGCAAGGCTCTCATCTGTCTTGCAGCAGGTTGTGGCCAGGCTCATTTTCTGTGAGCTGTTGTCAAGGGCAGAGCCTGGATCTCACTGCTGTTTGATGCAAGAACTTCACTCAGAACAATTTCATTTTAAAAGTATTTAGGCACATAAGGACACAAAGAAGACCCAGCTAGAATGGAGGGTTAATATGGATTTTTTACACTTGCTCCAAGCTTTTTATGGTGCTTCTCTTAATTCCCTTCCTGGAGTAGAACCCTTACCTTCTGCTGACTTCCACTGCAGTTGATTTGTTAGGTTCAGTTGCTTACTATTACTCCTGAAATTACTTCTGTGTTTGCTTTTAGGCTTCTTGCATCTTGCAGCTGATAAAATACATTCAGAAGCTACAAGCAAAAGAAGTTCCTGTAGCTGAGGAGGTGATAGCCCTGTTTGCTGGTGAGCTCAACCCTGTGGCTCCTAAAGCACAGAAGAAAGTACCTGTTCCAGAGGGGTAAGGTTCTTTCCTTCTCCCAAAGCCTTATTTAAACTTTTAAACTTTTAAATAATAAAGCAAAGTGTGTGATGGGACCCTGAAATACTCAGGGATTCTAAGTCAAGCTGTTTGTTCACTGCAATTCTCCCCAGCCTGGACCTCGATGCCTGGATCAATGAACCTCCCTCAGACAGCGAGTCTGAAGATGAAAAGCCCAAAACAATCTTTCATGAAGAGGAGCAAAGGCATTCCAGGCACAGACAGCCAGAGATAGATGAAGAGGAGCTGGCCAGAGTGAGTGAATGTTAAAATGCTTTTCCTTACACAATTCAGTAGTGCAGTGAGTGCTGCTGGAGCAGTTGGAGCTGTTGTGGAGTGGCCAGGTAGGCAGGCAGGGAGCTGCTGTGCTCTCTGCAGCTCAGGAGAGCTGATGGTTTGATCTGAACTGATGCTCACGGACCTCAGCAGCTTCTGTGAATGACTGTAACGTGTCTGTCCTCAGCAGTGATCCCACCTTTCTGCTGTCACAGAGAGAACTTGTTGATAAGACTCTTCACTTCTTACTCTATTTACAGAAATAAAAACAAACATTTGAATTGCCATCCAAATGGCCACCTCTAGCAAAGAAGGGTGTTCTAAGGATTATTGGTTATAGAATCACACAGTCATGGAATGGTTTGGGCTGGAAGGGACCTTAAAGCTCATCCCATCCCACCCCCTGCCGTGGGCAGGGACACCTTCCACCAGCCCTGGGTGCTCCAGTCCCTGTCCAGCCTGGCCTTGGACACTTCCAGGGATGGGAATTAGTGATGGAACCTGTATCCTGGTGTGTCCTGACACTCAGAACTGCTTTGTTACACACGAGCAGCTCTGCTCTTCTCACAGGTAGTTACGTATGTTGTTCCAAAAATTCAGGGAGATTGTTTTTGGTGTCTTTTCTGTCTTTGCTTACAAACAAACATTTTAACTGCAAATCCTCTCTCATTTGTAGCGTCGGGAAGCCCGGAAACAAGAGCAGGCAAACAACCCATTTTACATTAAAAGCTCTCCTTCCCCACAGAAGGTGAGTGGGAACTGCACTGTCTCCCTGGCCTCTCATGTCACTGTGTGAAGGCTCCCTGAGTACCAGAGCTGCAGCTTCCCCTGGTCACTGACCCCTTTGTGGTGTGTGCTCTGGAGTGGCTGCCTGATAAAACAATCAGTTTTGTAAGTCCTGTTTGTGCTGAGAACCTCAGGGGTGATCTGATATCCCAGGAGCAGCCAGTGCTCTGGAAGTGTCTGTGCAGTTTGTCCCTCTGGGTGATCCAGAGTTCAGATCACCTCCCCCAGAGGTGAACCCAGAACGTGCTCCACGTGTTTTGTGGCTCACAAAGTTGTGGTGGTCTCTCAACACCTTTTGCAGGGAAAGAATCTGCTCTGTCCCCTGTGTGTTCCAAGAGATTTGCCTCAACTCCTTCAGAGTTGATCCTCTGAAGTGGCAGCTTATTAGCAATAAAACACAAAGCAAGAATCCTCAGGGAGTTGCAGCAAACCTTCAGGGCAGTAGTGGGGTTAAAAAAACTGTAGCAAGAGAAGGGTCCTTTGTAATAATTATCAGCTGGCTTTAAAACACACTCTGCTGCCACCCAGGATTAGTAGCAAGCTGTTCCATCCCTATCCTTTAAAATACTCACTTAAGGGATTGAACTGCTGGATGTTTTGTAATGTCTGTTTACAGAGAGTTGTGCTTGCAGTGCTCAGAATGTAACAAATCTCTGTTTTCCCAGAGATACCAAGACACTCCAGGGGTGGAACATATTCCTGTGGTCCAGATCGACCTTTCTGTCCCATTAAAAGTTCCAGGTAAGCTCAGCTAATCTTGAAAATTAATTACAGAAATTTCAGTCAAACAGAAGTCCTAATTCCTTCTTAGGAATTCCTCCTGAGGTTCTGAAGGGTAAGGAGCACACTTTGATCAGACTCTTGAATATAAATCTCCTTAATTTACATTTGAAAATAATACTTTGCAGTCAAGTTCCTTTTGAGATAATATTAGAAATAGTTGTGATAGAGGATATTGTGCAGCCAAGGCTGTGACATGTAAATGAGGGGGAACAGTCACCTTAACGATGTCTTAGAAGTGGTCAGGTAAATGATGGAGGTGATCAGGAGACAGTCTGATGGTAGAGATACTGTTTGAATACCTATATTCAAATATCCAAAGGCGTCTGTGCATCTGGTGAGTGGTTTTCAGCTGAAAAGCTGCTGATAAAGTGCAGTACCTTGCAAGGGCCGAGTTCTAAGTGCAGATATTTAATATCAATATTAAATATTACATACCAAACATCAAGCCTCAAATATCAAATCCTTCCCAGGAATGCCCATGTCTGACCAGTACGTGAAGCTGGAGGAGGAGAGGAGGCACAAACAGAAGCTGGAGAAGGACAAGAAGAAGAAGAAGCAGAAGAAGGAGAAGAGGGGGAAGCACCACCGGCACAACTCCCTGCACACGGAGAGCGAGGAGGACATTGCCCCTGCCCACCACGTGGACATCATCACCGAGGAGATGCCCGAGGTCAGGGGCTGTGCCTGTGGCTCTGCTGCTCCCTGTGCTGCTCTTGACGTGTTCTGCCCCCACAATCGCCAGCCAGTCTGCAGTTTGGCATCTCCAGCCCTCTGATTCCTGGCAGAGCCGTTTCAGGGGTGACAGAGATGGTCCCAGGCTGCTCTGTTGATGGGGGAGGAATGATTTTTGTGAGTTCTCGTGCACAAAAAAAAGACAAAAAACATCCCCTGCAGCCATTAAAAAAATCAAAACCACCCAGCAAAACAAACAATGTGCATCCCTGCTCTAAAAGTAGTGCTGTCCAAATGGCATTAATTATGCTCTGCTGCTTCACTTTGACAGTAACTTGCTGTCTAGTCAGCAGCTTTGCAGCTGATGGTAATTAATTGCACATGCTAATGATGTCATCCGTGTTTGTTCCTAAAATTTCCTTTAATCAGAACCGAGCAGCAGCCATTCAAATGCTGCAGTTTATGAAGAAGGGTTTTCTGTTCTAAATTAATCTTGTAACTCGATGCTGCATTGAAGAGCATTGTTCCCATAACTGCCTGACTGCAGCTGGCCTGGGCCGGGGTTAACAGGCTCAGAAACACTTGATGTGGGTGACGTGGAGCTTTAGTGTGGGAATTGCCTGCTCAGTGATGGTCTCTTGATCTCTCCTGCAGAATGCTTTGCCCAGCGATGAAGATGACAAAGATCCCAATGATCCCTATAAAGCACTTGACATCGATCTGGATAAGTAAGTGGCAGTTTGTGTGTGAATTAATGAGCTGCTAATGAGAGCACAGGAGGGCAGGGCTGGGCTGGGCTGGGCTGAGCAGGCACAGGCCCTGCAGTCCAGAGGGGAAGAGGCTCAAGTCTCTCACCCTGGCTTGGATGACACCTCAGGTGATGATCCAGTTTGGGATAAAAGCTCAGCTGCTGGGTTAGGGAGGGGCTGGGAGGGACAAGGGAGTCACTCAGTGTGACTGAGAGGGGTCTGGAGGCACAGGCAGTGTCACTGCATCAGGTGTGAGTTCCTTCAGCTTTTGGGTGTCCCACTGTGTGTGTGCTGTGAGCTGTGTTGGCCCTGAGTGTGACCTGTGTCCCTCTGATAACCTGTGTGTCCAGGGGAGCCCCTGTGCTGTGATCACTGCCCAGTAACACCCAGTCTGTCCCACCCCTGTGCCCTGTGCTGTGATCACTGCCCAGTAACACCCAGTCTGTCCCACCCCTGTGCCCTGTGCTGTGATCACTGCCCAGTAACACCCAGTCTGTCCCACCCCTGTGCCCTGTGCTGTGATCACTGCCCAGTAACACCCAGTCTGTCCCACCCCTGTGCCCTGGGCTTGCTCAGTGTGGGCCCATTGCTGAGAAATGCTGTGAGTGAACTGTCCCCACTGAGCTGCTGGAGCTGTGCCAGTGCCAGCATCCCAAATCCCTGCACCCACACTGGCTCTGGGCTGCTCAGAACTGCACATGGAGCTTGGTGGGTTTTTTTTTAGTTGCTCTTTTACAAAATCATCGTGCTAAAAATCATTGTTTCATGGCCCAGGGATGCCTCCTGTGAAGTCTGTAGTAACTTTCTCCCTCTGGGAAGTCTCTGCAGGCAGACTTTGGCCACTCACCCCCTTGCAAAAAAAAGGGGAAAGAAGAAAAGGTTCCTTTTTCCAAGAGCCCACCGTTCCTCTGGCTGGTGCAGGTGGCAGTGTCTCAGGAACTGGTTTGGCTGGAGCCCCTGGATTTGCAGGAGGAGCCCCCCCAGGGCAGGGCACAGGGCAGGGGGTGGGTGCTGTGCTCAGGAGGCATCTGTGGGCTGTTCACTGCTCCATCCTCCACCCCTGCCCATGGCCCATGGGTGGCTCTGCTCTCCTCTCATGGTTCTCATGTCTGTCCTCTCTCTCTCTCTCACTGCTCTGTTTGTCACCCTCACACACAGTCTGCTTGCAGGGAAGCCTTCCAGGTAAGAACACCTTGTTAAGTGTTGACCTCTGCCAGGTTGGTTGGTTGTGGTGGACTCTGGAAATCCTTGAAGGGTGGTGGAACTGCTGAAATCGGTGCCCCTCAGGTTTGGGGGAGGGTGTTTCGTCCTTTGCTCTCGGCCTGGTGCCTGTCCCTGTACAGGTGTGTGTGAAACAGCTGAAGGGGGAGGCCTCTTGGCTGCTCACACAGGTGGGGCCCATCTTGCCCTTGTAGAGTGAAAAATTAGTGGGGTCTGGTCCTTTGTGCAGTGTAAGCCAAAATATTAAGGTATTTGAAGCCATTGGAAATCTTCCTGAACTGTTGTTTGCTGTGCAAACGTGAAAATTAACATTAAATAAAAGCTGAGAAATGGAAAAAGAGGCAAACTGTGAAATTCTTGCTGGTTCCTGGAAATGTTTGACAAGAACAAGAGAAATTGCTGTGGTGGTTTTTTTTTTTTCCCAACTAATGAATTTGGGATACAGTGTGAATGTGAACCACTGTTTGTAGTGTAACTGTACTGCTGTGCTGTTTTGGAAACAGGTGCCTGAAGTTAAATATAATTTAACTTTTACAGTGTGACAGTAGGGTACAAATCGAGGCTGTAAACTTCCAAGAGAAAAATCCTTTAGAACAACTCCCAGAACAACAAACCCCACACCCTTCAAGGGCTGTTTGAGCCGTGCTGACATCCCGCTGCTCCAATCCCCACGCTGGTGGAAGTGCTGCTTCCCATCTCTGCCCTTCCTTGGAGAGGGGTTCCATGGGAATAACACACAGGGTGTTCTCCTGCAGGTGTCACTCAGCCTTGCAGGTCTGTAACCAGCACTTCTGAGAGTGAAACAGCGAGACTTCGGCTCTCAGTCCCCTTCAGATTGTTTCCTTCAACTTTAATCCTCCAGGGCAGTTTGCATAAATAAACCTCAGGTGCAGAAATATGTGCTGATTTAACTTTTTTTTTTTAAATTTAAAAACAAAGCCCACCTTGTCCTGGTCACCCAGCAGATGCTCTGGGCTGGGGGAGATGTTTGCACCAGGGTGATTAATTCTCTCTCTCCCTCTCTTTTCAAGGCCCTTAGCAGACAGTGAGAAGCTGCCAGTGCAGAGACACAGGAACGTCGAGACCCTCAAGTCACCGGACTCTGAAGCTCCCCTGGTAGAGAAGAAGAGCAAGAAACCCAAAAAGAAGGAGAAGAAACACAAAGAAAAAGAGAGAGACAAAGGAAAGAAGAAAGAGAAGGAGAAAAAGGTGGTAGAGGAGGAGGAGGAGGAGGAAGAACAAAAAAAGGTGATTCTCCAAGCCTTGCATTATTTTAGCAACTGCTGGGTTTTTATTGCTGTGTTGGGTTTGTTGCTTAGGAACAGTCACATCTGCCAGTTCAAACAGCTGAATGCCTTTATCTCCTTCAGTTTTTACAACCATAACAACAGGTATTTAAAGATTTCTGCTAATTAGGGTTTCCTCGGCCTCCTAAGCCAGCAGAATTCAGCTTCACTGCAGCCCACCCAGCAGAGCTGCCAGAGCCCAGCTGGAAGCTCAGTTTTACTGCAGTTTTGTGTGTTCTTCAAGCAGGGAGTTCCCTGGAAAAATACCTGGGGCTCAGGTTTTGTTCTGCGTCCTGCCTGTCATTTACTGCAGGACCTTTCAGCCTTGCAGTGTCCTCACTGAGCACCCTGCAGAGTGCACTGCTCCTCTGTCCTGGGAATGAGCACCCAGTGCTCTTGGAATGCCTGCAGATGGTGGGGAGGGTCCTGGGCACTCACTCTCAGCTGGGTTTGGAAGTGCTCAAAGGCCGAAGTGCTCTTTGCTCCTAAGTGTGTTGCAGCACGAGGAGCATCTGGAGTGCTGCATTTCCATCAGAACTCCAGGTTTTAATTAGTTGTTACAGAGTCATGGAATGAAACGCTGGTTTGTGTCGGAAAGACCTTAAAGTGCCACCCCCTGCCATGGGCAGGGACACCTTCCTACTATCCCAGGCTGCTCCAGCCTGGCCTTGGACATTCCCCCAGGATGGGGCAGCCACAGCCTCTCTGGGAATTCCATCCCAGCCCTTCCCCACCCTCACAGGGAACAATTCCTTCCCAATATCCCATCTCACCCTGCCCTCTGGCAGTGGGAAGCCATTCCCTGTGTCCTGTCCCTCCATCCTTGTCCCCAGTCCCTCTCCAGCTCTCCTGGAGCCCCTTTAGGCTCTGAAAGGGGCTCTCAGGTCTCCCTGGATTCTTCTCTTCCCCCAGCTCTCCCAACCTTTCCTCACAGCAAAGGGGCTCCAGCCCTGGGATCTTTTGGTTTCCTGTGTTGTTTTTGGAGGGGGTTGGTTGGTTGGTTGTTTTAAGAATGGTACCAAAAGAACCATAATGTGTTTTTTCTCTTGAAATCCAGGGGGAAGACTTGGATTTCTGGCTCTCTACTGCTCCAGCTCCTGCTCCCACACCCCAGGCACAGGTAACCCTTATCCCACATCTTCCCCTCCCAGGAATCCTCCCCTGTGACGGTGGCTGGGCTGTGCTGTGTTATCCTGCAGCACTGAGGGGAAATCAGCTCCATCTCCTCAGCTGATGGCTGGGGAGCAGTGATAGGTGTGCCCCCAGCTCACAGGCAGTGGAGTGGCAGGTTTCAGGCTCATTCTGCTGTGCAGATCAAGGGATAAAAATAGAAATACAGATGCAGGGACAGCCTTGGTCAGTTTTAATATTGCTGGTGGGGTTTAATATTGTATGGTTGCATGGGGTTTATTTCTCAGGGTGAGCTAGACATGAGCAGCATTAATAGACGTGAGACACAGAGTGGGAAAATCTCATGAATTTTGATGGGAGATGGTAGAGGAAGAAACAGGGAATAGAAGGGGGTGGATTCCTTGGAAGAAACCTTTTGAATGGTGTCCTCAGGTGATCATATTTGCTGGGCTCCAGAGGCATAAATCGAAGGGCTTGGTCCTAATGTCGTGTTTGAAGTAAAATTGGGGGTGAGAGTCACTGCTGGGACCTCCTTTGGTGGGAGGTTGGGTTGTTCCACCTGCAGTGTCACAATCCCTCTGCTCTTCTCCCTCAGAGCCAGCCTGCCCCAGGAGCTGCTGTGCTGGCTGAACCTCAGGAGGCCAGGAAGGAAGAAAGGGAAGAGGAAGAGGAGGATGAGGATGATGAAGGAAAGGTAAGTGGCTTAAGCTAAGAGGGAACTGCCTCAGGTTTGCAGCAGGGGAGGTTTAGATTAGATATTACGGAACATTTTGTCATGGAAGGGGTTGTTCAGGCCTGGCACAGCTGCCCAGGGTGGAGTCACCAGCCCTGCAGTGCTCAGACAACATGTGGAGGTGGCCCTTGGGGACATGGATTAGTGGTGACCGTGGTGGTGGTGCTGGTTGATGGTTGGACCTGTAGAAAAGAGGGGTTTTCAAGGGCTGGTTGTGATTTCTTGTTCTTCTCAGCAGAAATCCTCCAAGCATAAGAAGAAAAAGCACAAGAAGGAGAAAGAGGAGAAATCCAAGGATAAAAAGAAATCCAAAAAGAAGAGTCATCCCAGCGAGGAGGAGCCCCCGGCGTCGGTGCAGAACGGAACACTAGAGGATGAGCCACTACCAGTGAGTAGCTGTGCCCTGGCAGCCCAGCCTGGGCACCAGGAGAGCTCCACTGCTGGGGAAGAAAGAGGGGGAACCCCTTTTCAGAGAAATAACTTGCACTGTGCCACTGATTCCTCTCCTGTGTTTCAGCCCATGTCCAGTTACCGCCTTCTTGCTGAAAATCCGTACATTAAAATGGTGAGTTTTGTTCCTCTTTGTATTCCCTGAGAACAGAGGGGATGCCCTGGGGGTGCTGTGGTGACTTTAGGTGGGCATCATGTAACTGAAGAACTGTTTAAAATCCCAGGAGGCAGAACCGTAACAATTCCCATCCCTTCAGGTGCCCCACTTTAGTTTTTGATATTTCCCCCCACATAGCTCATCACCAGTGTGTTCATTACCCTCTAGCTGTGCAGATTCCCTCCTTTTGGGCCTTGTTTTATCCTTGTGTTCTGCTCCTTGGAGTCTCTGCACCTTTCCTGTGACGCTTTTCCCTTGGTTTGCAGACCTATGACATCCAAGGAAACCTGCAGAACGACAGTCAAGTGACTGTGTCTGTCATCTTTGAGAACAAAAGCAGCAGCTTCCTCAAGAGCATGGAACTAAATGTCCTGGACTCTCTCAACACTAAAATGCTCCGACCAGAAGGATCCTCAGTCCACGATGGGATTCCTGTGCCCTTCCAGCTCCCCCCTGGTAGGCTTTGCTCGGGGTTCTTGGACTGTGGCTGGCCCTGCACTGCCCTCCTGTGGGAAGAATGGTTTGAACTCCCTGCTGTTTGCCAAAAAAACAAACCTGTCTCTGCCTGGGTGGCTTTCCCACAGTTCCCTGGAGAGGATAAAGCTCCTCAGAGTGTGGCTGTGCCACACTTTGCAGCAAGAGCAAAGCCTTGATTTAGGGCTGGGAGTGTCCCAAGTGTCCCAGTTCCTTCTCCAGGCACACCTCGGACTGCAAAACCCCAACACTCCTGAGGAGTTTGCTGTGAGATTGAAAATTAAGCCAAGTTAGGGGGTTGTGAAGCACTGGAATCCACTCTGGGTTTATCCTGGAGCTGTTTATCCCCTGTTCCAGTGGCAGAGGCCTCGTGCAGGGAAGGTTTGTGCTGGGGATGTGTAAGAAGGGGAGCTGAGCCCTCCAGGAGTGATGAGACACAGAGAGGAGGGATAATGGATTTGCACAGAGCACAGCAGGGCAGCTCAAGTGCTGAACTTCCTTGGATTTCACTTCCTTCACCAGAGAGTGAACTGGAATCCTGGAACAGCCCACAGAGGGCTCAGGGTGCATTTTGATCCCCCGTGAAAAGCAGTGGGGTATTTAATTTGATTTTAATTCTGTTCTTCACACAGACTTGTATATTAAAAGGAAAACATAGAAAACATTAGAATTCAGATTACCTCTGAAAGCTTTATAATTTCCAGCCATACAGACAGCTTCAGTGTGTGCCACTGTGACATCCTTTGCCCAGGCACCTGCTCAGTGACCTCTACCAAATGAGAGACCCGAGTGCTGTAACCCTGACTCAGCACAGGAGTTGTGTGTGGAGCTCTCTCCCAGCTGCACAGAAAATCCCAAACTTGGTTCAAAAATAGTCAGCACATAAACGAGTTTATTCTAACCATGACTTAGATCTGGAAACCGTGTTCTGACCTGACTTCTCCCTCTCCTCTCTCCACTGCCAGGAATCTCTAATGAAGCCCAGTTTGTGTTTACACTTCAGAGTATTGTTATGGCTCAGAAGTTAAAAGGAACACTGTCCTTTATAGTCAAAGTAAGTGCAGCTCTCAACTGCTTCTGCTTCCTTTGGATCTGTGTCAGGGAGCGGGACCTGGGTGGGACATCCTGTGCAGGGAGTGCCCTCAGAGGTCACTGCTGGCACTGTGTGAGCAGGACAGCCTGGCACAGGGGCCCAGTGTCAGCTGCAGAACACCTGCAGTGATCTGGGCCACGTGGAACCAGGGGCTGCTCCTCCTCATCCCAGTTGGACGCTGCTGGCTGGAATTAATAGAGTTAATAAGGGTGGAAACCCAGACCAAGAGTGAGGTTTATCTGAAGGCATTGCTTGAGAAGTATTGACTTGTCTGTGATGATGTGGGGTTTTGATCTCATTTCAGTACAATTAATGAAGGAGCTGCATGAGCAGCTCAGAGGAAGCGAGCAAAGACAGTCGTGGCTACTCCTGACTCAGCCATTCTCTCTATTTTAAGGGTTCCTTAAAAATAGCAGGCCAGTCCTATTTTCAGTACCTGAGAATCTGGGAGATACTCCTTTATTATTTTGCTCAGGAAATAATGAGCTTTAAACCCACATCTCCCAAGTGTTAAACAGCCTGCTCAGTCTGTTCCAGCAGAGTGCAAGCAGAACCTGCAGCCAGTTGTGCCTTACCTGTATCAACCCAGCTGCCCAAATCCACGAGTGGGCTGATGTTTTAGTGGGATGGTTGTTCCCAGACTGATCCTGCAGGCCCAGCCAGGGCATTTCAGAGGGAACTGAGCCCTGCAGTCCCTCTTGGTGCCTGGTAGGTGGGGGTGGTGCCTCCCGTTCATCTCCTTTCCTCTGACCTGTTGTTGCAGAATGATGAAGGCTCAACCCACGAAAAACTAGATTTCAAATTGCACTTCAGTTGTGCTTCATACTTGATCACCACGCCTTGCTATAGGTGAGTGCTGCCCTGGGGGGGCTGAGCCTGAGCTGCTCCTGGCTCGGTGTCCTGGGTGGTGGTAAATGTTGTGTTAAATGTTGTGTTAAAAACAGGGATGTGAAATGGTGCTAAATGATTGTGTGGAGTGGCTGTGAAGGAGCTCCCTGCCCTGTGTGGCAGGGGCAGCTCTGGCTGAGGTCACAGGATGCTTCCAGAGGAGTCTGGATTGTCCTTCCCATATTTGCTGCAGTCCCATTTCCCTAGAGCTTGGTGGTACTTAGAGCTCTCCATCCTGAGGAGTCTCTGTGGGGCACCTTCCCCTTGCCTTTCCAGTGAAGGGTTTCCTTCCCTCGCTCTTTTGCAGTGATGCTTTTGCCAAGCTCCTGGAGTCTGGAGACCTGCACATGAGTTCTATTAAAGTAGATGGAATTAGCATTTCTTTCCAGCATCTACTGGCAAAGATCTGTTTTCATCATCATTTTTCAGGTGAGTGTTGCTCCCTGCAGAACCCTCTGCAAAGCTCCCTGTCCCAAAATCTCTGCTGTGCTTGGCAAGCACGACACTCCACGGCCTCACAGCCACAGGAGCAGATGAAAGAAAGTTGGGAGATGAGTTTTTTCCAGTTTTTTAATACTCCAGGCAGGCAGTGTTGTTCAAAATGAACTCTCCTCCTGTCCCTGGGGTTTCCCTGCAGCCCAGCGAGGCGTGTGACAGGTGTCCCATGCGTGGAATTCAGGCTGTGGGTGCTCCCTGGAGGGTGGGTCTGATCTCCAGGGCTTCATTTCCGTGAGGGACAGCCCCAGCTCTCCAGCTTTGGATTTACCAATTAAACCACAAGCGCTGGCTGAAGCAAAACAACGGGCTGTTTCATCACGCTCTGCTGTTTGCACCAGACATTGCCTCACTGGAAGTATTTCTGGGGAAGAAATCTGCTCTCTGGGCAGCGTTTCTGCCACACGACGTTTGTGCCTTTAGGAGACAGATGAGTCACCTCGTTGTTGGGAAATGTCCCAGCCAGGAGGCAGGAGGAGCCAGGCCCTTCTTAACCCTCCTCCCCTGTGAGGAGCTGCTGTTCCTCGGGCCAGGCAGAGCAGGGGGCAGCAAGGCTGGTCCTAAATGTTGTGCCACTCACTGGGATTGCTGTTCCTTTGCAGTTGTGGAGCGTGTGGATTCCTGTGCATCCATGTACAGCCGTTCAATCCAGGGCCATCACGTCTGCCTACTGGTAAAAAAGGTGAGAGGAGCCGAACCTGCAGCCTTCCCTCCCTTCCCTGAGCTTGGGAACAAACTTATCTCAGCTTGGAAAAGGGACTAATAGATTTTTTTGTTGTTGTTGTTGTTGTTTTTTTCCTTTCCAAGGGAGAGAACTCAGTATCCATAGATGGGAAATGTAACGATTCCACCCTGCTTAGCAACCTGTTGGACGAGATGAAAGAGACATTGTCCAAGTGCTGAATATTCCCTCTCCAGTATTCCAAGGACAAGGAACACAGCTGAGTGTAAAGATGAGCAGACCCAAGTGTTAAGTTTCTCCCTTGGCATGTACTACCCTGGGGCACTGCTTTCAGTTAACTCCACCCTCCCGTGCAGTTTAGGCATTTTAAGGCTGTATTTGTTACCTTTTTATTTCCACGACTTTTTACAAACCGTGATGTTAACCCTTTCTAGCCCAAAGAGATCCTGGTGACATGACTGGAGGAGGGGAGGGAGGGGAGGGCACTATTTATTCAGCAGCTCATGATGATCCCATGACCTTCCATCTGCGTGGGAACGAGGGATGAGCAGGACTTCATCACCAGTAGCACAGTCTGTTGCTTGTGCTTATGCCAGGGAAGGTTGACTGAATCCTTAGCCATGGAATATGTCTTCAGGGCTGCTGTAGTTGATGTACATTTCTAGCAGAGGCTGGTGCTGGACCTGAAGGCCTCTTTTTTTTGTTTTGGTTTTTTTTTTACATATATATATATATGATTTATTATTATTATTATTATTATCTCAAGATCTATTGTGATCAGCATATAAACATCCTCCATCTCCTTGAGCTAATCCAAAGGAGCCCTGTGAGAACTGGGATGTTTGAGTTTGTCTGTAGTAGTTGCCTTGAGCCTTAAACCTTCTTTTAGTGACAGCTGGAAGAGTCGAGAGCGGGAGCACGAGAGGGGCTGCAAGTGTCGCTGTTGGGTCTCTGCTCCCACGCCCAGAGCCCGCCAGGCCTGTCCCCCCTGAGCTGGCTCTGCTGCTGTGTTTGATGAGTCCACTTCCCTTCCACATTCCTGAGCAATGAAGCTGTAGCAAGAAACTGGAACTCCAGAGGGGTCTGTTCCTGCTCGTGTATCCATGGCCAGGTTAGAGAAACCCCCGTGCTCTGTGCGCAGGCACAGCCCTGTCCTCCCTCTGGGCTCTGCAGCCAGCTGTCCCAGTGTCCCCTCAGTGTCCCCACAGCGTCCCCCAGCCCTGCAGATCCCTCCCTGCCCCGGGGCAGGAGAGAGGGATGGGTTGGGAGCCCCTCTCCCTGACAATGCGGGAAGGAGGGGAGGTGAGGAGCTGCTCTCCCTGCCAGGGTTGCAGGAGGGAAAAGGGTGGATTGGGGTCCCCTCTCCAGATGCAGGATGGACTGAGGGTGGATTGGGGTCCCCTCTCCAGGTTCAGGATGGACTGAGGGTGGATTGGGGTCCCTTCTCCAGGTTCAGGATGTGCTGGGGGTGGATTGGGATCCCCTCTCCAGGTACAGGATGTGCTGGGGGTGGATTGGGGTCCCCTCTCCAGGTTCAGGATGGACTGAGGGTGGATTGGGATCCCCTCTCCAGGTTCAGGATGGGCTGAGGGTGGATTGGGGTCCCCTCTCCAGGTTCAGGATGGGCTGAGGGTGAGGAGCTGCAGATTTGGGTCCTCAGCAGGTTCCTTTTGAGGGAAGGAGGGTCTGAAGTGAAGCCCATTCTGCAGCATTGAAATCTCGTGGAGTCACCACTGGAAATGTCACTGTGTCCTGCAGGGATGCTCAGTCATGTCCTTCTCCCCCATCCCCTTCCATTTATTTTTTATCCCCCCCCCCAGTTTTTCCCTTGCTGTTCCACACCCAGCAAACCCAGAAGTCCTGGAAGGGTTTTGTTCAAGGCCCAGCTGGGGAGGGGTTTGCTCTCCAGGAGGGTGCCCAGGGAGGAGCTGGGTGGGTCTGCTCCTAAAAACCCCAAATCCCCGCAGGGAGCAGGAAGAGGTGGTGATCTTATCCCTTGGGTGATGTCCTGTGCTTTACACATGTCCTGTGCTCTTCACACTCTTCCCCCAGGAGGGATTTTGGCCAAGGCTCTGCTCTGGTGCTCTGAGTTCATGGCCAGGCCCAGCTCTGGGTCTGACTGAGCTGCTGGGACGTGGAGGGTTTGGTTTTGGTCAGCCTCCCTTGGTTAGCCAGTTGTGTATTAGAAACTCAACATATTAAAATTGTCTTAAAGGATAATGTTCCTCGATTAGTGGTTCTTTTGTTTTTTGGGGTTTTTTGTTTGTTTTTTGTTTTTTTTTTTTTAAATCCATGGATGAAAACTGTCACTTTAGCATGTAGAGTCTCTTACAGAATCCTGTGCAGTGATTCTAGAATTTTGAAACTGTATGATGTGTTACATTCACAAATTTATTTGCTATCAACATTCCCTTAAAAAAGGAAAAAAAAAAAAAAAAAGGTAAAGAAAACAACATACCACAAGCTGCTGTAATGATTTTGTGTCAAGATGATCCAATAAACTTTCAAAACAAAGTTAATTTTTTTGGCTTTGTAAGTGGTCCTTTTATGAGACCCTCCCAGTTTGGATGGACCCAAAACCAGGATGTGGATTTGCCCCAGCACTGAATGATGTGTCTTTGGGGGAGGTTAGGAGGAATCTCATTCCTTAAGCAGGTGAGGAATCCCTACAGCCCCCCTTTGGAAGGCCCTGGGACCAGTGTGACATTACAGGGAAAAATAATTCAGTCTCCGTTAAAGCTGCGTTAATTGTTCTGGTTTTTGGATCGTGACAGCAGCTAAAATCTGATATTTGGGAATATTTGGGAAAAGGGGAGCTCTGCTCTTAATGAGGCCACAGATGGGCCCCTTCTGTCACTTCCTCGTGGCAGAGGTGACATGGGTGACACTGAGCCTGCCCAGGGAGGTGGCCGAGCTGTTCCAAAGCCTGCTGGACACAGCCCTGAGTGCTCAGGGGGGGAGCTGGGCCAGGTGAGCTCCAGGGGTCCCTTCCACCCCCCAATTCCACGATCCTGTGCCCTGGACCAGGCAGGAGCTGGCAGTGCCTCTGGCACATGGGCTCTGGCATTGTCTGTGCCAGGGAGGAATCCAGGCAGGGAGGCCCCGGGGTGGGAGCAGGATGGGATCAGCTGCTCTGCAGGAGCAGCCAAAGCTGCTGGATGAGGCTGTGCCAGCTGGGAACGGGGGGAGAGCTGGAGCTTCACCCCAGGGCTGTGACACAGCTGGGCTGGGGGGGG